CCACTCCTCGGAAGGAAGGTTGGGCAATCTTACTTCCGTAGTGATACTGCCTCGGAAACCCAAGGAGGGGTCGCTATGAGTCAGGGCTGACTCAATGGCACATAACAACAACAACAAATGTAGGAAGGCAGGAATGTATAGGCAAGAAGGACACAAGGAAAGTAGGGTAACCGCAAGGAGGAAGCTGGAGGTGAGCTGTTATGCTGCAGGGAATGTAATCAAAATAAAATGTGTAAGAACTGTTGAATGTAAAACAAATCTGCTTTGTAAAATTTCACCCAAATCTCAATAAAAATTTTAAAAAAGTAAATTAGCATAGAATTTTAGCCTTGTACGTATATTGATATATGTAAGCTTGGCTTCTGGAAAATGTTTTTGTTTTTGTAACTATCTATGTAGATATTTTTTAATTAAAAAATAAATTTCTCTTGAAATACGGCACAAAAATTTTATAGATGGTTATTTTAGTGTCACCCTTTCTAACAGTGTCATAAAATGCAGTCCACACCTCCCCTATCGTCCCCCCTAGTGACGTCACTGATTTGGATTTGGGTTTAGGGACAGGGGAAACCAACACTTCTGAAGGAGTCAGGGTATCAAAGAGGGATTAGTCAAAGTTAAGTTGTTCAGGATAAAAGTGATTTTCATATGAATTGAATGAGTATGTCAGAAAGAGTGTTTTTCTGGAAAGAAGGGATTCAGAGTGAGTAGTACAAGAGTCTGGTGAGGTACAAAGCAATGAAAGTGAGGCAGAGGGAAGAGTGCAGAAGAGCAGAGATGAATTTACAAGACAAGATGGATGAATACAGGTATTTACGTTATGGGTGGTGAACATAGATAATAGAGAGAAGATAACATAGAATTAACTGGCCTGAAAATTTCCACCAGTACTTGCTTATTAGGAGGAAAAAAAAAAAAAACTTTCCTCTGAGTATAACCATACATATGTCCTAGAAAGAGCCTGGGGCCTAGTGATCTTAACAGTGTGTTAGATAGGCTTTTAATAGAACACTGTGGAATAATTCTCAGCCATAAAGAAAAGTGAAGTCCTGATACATACTACAGGATGGATGAAACTTGAAAACATTATGGTATGTGAAAGAAGTCAGTCACAAAAGGACACATACTGTATGATCTCAATTATATGAAATATCTAGAATTGGTAAACATGTAGAGATCAAAGTTTATTAGGCTTATCAGGGGTGGGAGAGAAGGAGAATGGTGGAGTCATTACTTAGGAGACTAACTAAACTCACTGCTGTCAAGTTGAACCTGACTCATAGCGGCCCCTCCTTGGGTTTCCGAGGTAGTATCACTACAGAAGTAGATTGCCCAACCTTCTTTCCAAGGAGTGGTAGTTCAAACCCACCAGCCTTCTGGTTAGCAGTCAAATAAATGCCTTAGGCACTGTGCTACCTTCTTTTAAGGGTCATGAAAAAGTTAGAATAAGATAGTGGTGATAGTTGAACAACATCAGGATAAAAATAATTAATGTCACTGAATTGTACATGTGAAGAATGTTAAAATGGCAAATGCTATATTACATATAAATTCACCACAATTTAAGACGGAGAGAAAGAAAGAGAGAGAGAGAGAGAGCGAGAGAGAACATGCCTCAGCTTCTCAAATACCATTTCACCTTGTGGTTAGAACAGGTGATTTTGTTGTTTTAATTGTGACTTTAGATTACTAAATTCTCAATTTAAAGGTTGAGTAGATAGCTTCTGTTAATTTAGCTGAAAATTCTGAACCATGGTGACATTAACAGATTTAGAGAAGGAACATCTATGATTCTGGTAAAGTCCAAGACTGTGTGCAAGAATATGGACTTTTGAACCTTTATGTGCACAACAGTCACCTGTGGGTCTAATTAAAATACAAATTCTGATTCAGTGTTTCTTAGACTATATATTTCTAGAAAGGGCCAAAATGAAGCCAATATTGGTGATCCAGGAACCACAAATTGAGTAGAAATGTCCTCTAAAAGTCACTTTTTAAATAAATGCATTTTATTAATTGTATGATGAAAATATATGGTTAATATAGAAGAAAATAGGCTTAGTTGTAAAAGTTTTCATTTTGGGAATATATAAAAGTGAATTGGTAATGGCCTAAGATATTTTTAATTGGTGAAAAACACAAAAAAGCACTAGAAGAATCAAGGAATGAAGCGAAAGTAGAAAAAGGAGGAGTGATATTTAGCCGTTTTAATGAGTGCCTAAAAATGAATTAATACCACTCAAGTTCATGAGAAGGGCTGCCTATGAGTTCAAAGAACTTATACAATATGCCAGGTGAAGAAGTAAGAAAATTAATATACACCTAAACTGCATATCCATCATCATTACTATGTATTTCTCTCAAGGATTTTTAATACATATACATTATATTTAGCCTGAAGGAACTGTCTAGGTAAATCATTTCATGTCTTATTTTAGTAGGCAATTAAGAATGATGTTGTTATTTCAGAAAATGAGAGTTCAGGTTGATAAAGGTGACTCATGAGGCATCAGAAAACCACTTACAGAATATTGTACTTTTTTTTTTTTAGCACTTTCAGTCTGTCATTGCTGACACTATTGATTAAATGCAAATTGCCTCTAGGTAACCATACGATAACAGGACAGTTTAGAATTTATATTCTTAAAATGCTGAAATTCGGCTTTCCTGCTTCAACAAAACTGCATTAACATACAGAAATAGGATGGCTAACAGTAACTATATGATTCAGACAGATTTTTTTTTAAAAAAAATGTAATTAGCTAAAAAAAAATATGTATTCCCAAGGTGATTGCATTTCAGTGGCCAAATATGTCACAGGTTCTTTGAAATGTATTCTGAATGGATCTTCTCTAAGTAATTTTCTATTCATGAAATTGGCCTCAAAAACCAAACAAATATATGTTCAACTGAGCGTAATTAGAAATGAGTATACATGGTAAATATATTTTGTTAATATTCATAAATATATACATATACATACATACATATAGAGAGATTTTCCTTTAGTTAAATTTTGAAACTAAGTCATTAACCATATAATCGTATTTCCCATTTATTGAAAACATGTAGGATAGTCTCTTAGAATACTGAAACAGCTTATTCTATGAAGTTAATAATGCATTTAAAGTAACTTTCCAATTTATAAATATAAATAGCTAAGTATAATAGAGGAACTGTTCATGATATTATCTCGCCCCAAAAACAGTATGAAACAAATAGATATTTTACCCCCAGAAGATCTTTTTATTTAATTTTTCCCTCTAAAAAGTACAACCCCCCAGTGAGTGTTAGCTTGTATCTATGGGACTGTTTTATTTATAAAAATCAATAGATTTTGTAATTCATGAAATTCAATGCTGGAAAGATAAAGCAGAACTAATAAGCATAATTACCTGTGACCTTCCTGTAGCGAAAACTATTTCACATTGAAAATATTTGTTTCTCTTGTCTGCTTGATGTTTTTCCTCTATCTGTTAGAAATTCTTTTACTAATTGTTGCTAACAATTACATTCCACAAAAGGATGTTTTGTAATTGTAGAGGTTGAAAAATCAAAGCCTTGATAATGTCCCTGAAGATGAAGGAGCTCTTAGTAACACAAATTCCTATTGTGAAGGTCAAAACTATAGCCATTCAGAAGGAATTAAAAAGAGTGAACTATTTTTTTTTTACTTTTATTATTTTTTTTTAATTGTGATTTGGGTGAAGATTTACAGAGCAAATTCACTTTCCAACAGCAGTTCACATACACTTTGTCTCATGTCATTGACCACCGTTTACCACAATGCAACAGCTCCCCTCCCACTTCCTCCCCATAGTTACCTCTTCCCAGTGTCCATCC